TTCCCTTCTTTCACTCTCTCTAAAAATATCAATGGAAAAAAATCCTTGGGTGAGGGTTAACAAAATAGTCACTATTTATTAAAAGGACTGCAAACTATAAAGGAAAATATGGAAATTTAACTGCATTCATATTTAAACCTACCAGATAATAAAGAGAAATGACCATACATAAAAATTAAAAGTGACACCCTGCCAAAACTGGTTTGGCTCAGTGATAGAGCATCAGTCTGCAGACTGAAGGGTCCCAGGTTTGATTCCGGTCAGGGGCATGTACATTGGTAGCGGGCACATCCCAGGTAGGGGGTGTGCAAGGGGCAGCTGGTCGATGTTTCTCTCTCATCGATGTTTCTAGCTCTCTATCTCTCTACCTTCCTCTCTGTAAAATATCAATAAAATATATATTTTTAAAAGTGACACCCTGAGAGAGAAAATACCTGCACTATATGATAGGTGTCAGATTAATACCTATAATAGAACGGAGGTCACCAACTCCTGAAAACTATCTGGCTTTGTAAATAAAGTTTTATTGGAAACAGTCATTTCCCATTGGTTTATGTATTGCCTACAGCAGCTTTACACTATAATAGCAAAGTTGCATAGTTGCTACAAAAACTGTATGGCCTATAAGGCCAAAATATTTAATATCTGGCATTATATAGAAAAAGTTTGTGGATCCTGACCTAGAATATATACAGACAACTCCTACAAAGCAATGGATGTGGGGAACTAACCCAATTAAAAACAAAACAAACAGCCGAAATCGGTGTGGCTCAGTGGATAGAGCGTCCGCCTGTGTACTTCAAGGGTCCCAGGTTCGATTCCGGTCAAGGGCATGTACCTCAGTTGTGGGCACATCCCCAGTAGGGGTGTGCAGGAGGCAGCTGGTCGATGTTTCTCTCTCATCGATGTTTCTAGCTCTCTATCCCTCTCCCTTCCTCTCTGTAAAAAAATCAATAAGCCGAAACCAGTTTGGCTCAGTGGATAGAGCATCAGTCTGCGGACTGAGGGATCCTAGGTTCGATTCTGGTCAAGGGCATGTAAATTGGTTGCGGGCACATCCCCGGGGGGGTGTGCAGGAGGCAGCTGGTCGATGTTTCTCTCTCATCGACGTTTCTAGCTCTCTATTCCTCTGTCTTCCTCTCTGTGGAAAATCAATAAAATATATTTTTTTTTTATATTTAAAAAAAAAAACTCACAGCAAACAATAGAAACTGGCAATGCACAAAAGAAATAAAATATATTTAATAAATATTATAAAGACAGGTTTAACATCACTGGTAATAAGGGAAAATATTAAAGAATTAAATCATTTGATAACATCCAATCCTGGCAAAGGTACGACACAGCCATTTTAGGAAGGCAATTTAGTAATACCTGTAAAAAATGTAATACGTCTGATGTTAATCCAGTCACTTTTTTTTTTTTAAATATATTTTATTGATTTTTTACAGAGAGGAAGGGAGAGAGATAGAGAGCTAGAAACGTCGATGAGAGAGAAACATCGGCCAGCTGCCTCTTGCACACCCCCTACCGGGGATGTGCCCGCAACCAATGTACATACCCTTGACCGGAATCGAACCTGGAACCTTTCAGTCCGCAGACCGACGCTCTACCACTGAGCCAAACCGGCTTCAGCAATCCAGTCACCTTTTTTAAGTATTTGCCCAGAGAAATACTTGCATTCATGCGCGCACACAGGTATCCAAAATCATTCAGAAAGCCATTCGTGGAAGCATTCCCTGTTCATAACAGTAAAACCCAAAAGTAACCTTGCTGCCCATCAATACATAACTATCATACATACCTGGTGGTACACTATGCACAATGAGTTTTGTACATTTGTATTTAATACCATGAGGAGAGTTGTAAGATGTGTTACTAACCAGAAAAAAAATATGTTGCAAATACGTACACACAGTTTAGATTAAGAAAGGTTTTAACTATGAATTTGAGTCCATATCTAGCAGGAAATGCACAGGAGAAGAACTGAAGGACAGATGCTACCCTGTGGACAGGGGCTGGGGCTGGAGGATGCCCAGACAGGTAAAGGATTGCTGCTTACTACTTTGCCTGGGTCACTCTGAATTCCAGTCCTGAGGAAAGACTACGGAACTGAGCTGGCAACCTCAAGGGCCCTAGTGGAATACCCGAAGCCTGCTCTCCAAGGAACCTTCTGGAACGTAATCACCCTTGACACCATTCTCCTCCCCACATGTCTGTGGAATGGCCACTGCAGGTCTTTGTAGGGGGAGAACAGGAGATGAAGAATCCTGACTGTGTCCCCGGAGTGGGCAAGCTGCTCCCTTCTCTGGGGTTTGGTCTTCTCATGGTTAAAAGTAGATTAGCTGATCTGAAGGCTCTTCCAGGTCTGAGGCTACGATGCAGTCCCAAAAGCAAAAGCCACAGCTGTGGGAATAAGCTCAAATCAGACGCCTGGGAGAAATGCCTGCCCCTGGGACCATGACATCCCAGGGCAAAAGCCAGTTTCACTGACTTCAGTGTCCTCGCCTCTTAAAGGGGGCGGCCTCAATTACCGCTGATCTATCTTCCAGCCTCGATGGTCTAAAATAAGCTCAGGGCAGAAAAGGGAGCAGGAAGCAAGGACTTGGGGAGACTGATGGGAACCAATTGGCTGAGGTTTTCTAAAGAAGCCGGAGGCCGAGAGTAAGACGCTGGGGTGGTGAGGGAGGGCCGGATGCAGAGCGCACTGAGGCTCTTGGCAACAGCCCTGGTCCCCCTCCTCTCTTCCAGAGCAGTTTCTTCCTGAAAGATCCCAGGAGGTGGAAGGCTGACCTAATCTCCTGCAGCACAAATAGCCCCACTCATTATTCCAGAAACTGCCTTTCAGGCCTGCTTTAAAATCAACAATTCAACTGTGAACACAGTGAAAGAGGAAAAGTACTATGAATGTATAACCCTACTCGTTTGAATCAAATTAATTATCAACAGATTTTTAAATTTTTTTAATAGATTCAACTCAAATATACATATTTCATTCTAGTCAATCTAAACCTAAGAATTGGAAACAAACCCTCTGACGACTGCCTGGAATAACCAGGAAACCCTCAGAACAACTCCGCCAAGCTCAGTGGCCTCCTACCCCATGTTAACTATTCCAGAAGTGTTTGTTGTTTGTCTTTTTAAATGGTAAGAAAAAAAATCTAGTAAAACATCAGTCCTTGCTTTTCACAATAGCCTGGTGAGTGAGGTTAAGTCAGGAATCTCTACTCCGGTTTATAGAAAAGGAAATGAATTAGCCCAGCAGGTGTGGCTCCAAGGTTGAACATCGACCCATGAACCAGGAGGTCAGGGTTCAATTCCCAGCCAGGGCACATGCCCCATCCCCATGCAGAAGGCAGCCAATCAATGATTCTCTCTCATCACTGATGTTTCTATCTCTCTCTCCCTTCTTCTCTGAAATCAATAAAAATATTTTAAAGGAAATGAGCTGTTCAGAGGCAAAGGGACTTACTTGTTCAAGGTCATACAACTGAAAGTGACAGCCAAGACCAGAAGCAAGGTCTCCTGGCTCCAGTTAGCATGTAACTGCTTCCCAGAAAAAGGCACCGGTCAGAAGAGGGAACCTCCTCATGAACCGGCCCACAGCCAGGCACCCAGCCAAACCCCAGCTCCCCGAGCGCCTGGCCCTCTGGCCTAACGATCTTACGACCCGCAGCCTGCGGAGCTAGGCTTTGGTCGTCCATGGAAGGAGTCTGCCTGGTTGCTGGGAACCTGGCCTAGAGGAAGGCCTATGTCCCGGCCACAGCTCCCGCCCTGACACCCAACTCAGCGAGGAGGGACCCGTGAGCCTTGGCGGCAGGGCAGCGGCCCGGTGCGCTTCACGCAGCGTCCTGCTCCGAGTTCTTCTGAGAAAGCAGGCCCCCCAGGATGGAAGGTCTCTCTCTCAGGGGCATGGCAGAAGCTCTGCAGAGGACAGGGTCTGGAGGGGGGGCAGGGGGGTACAGACACCCCCAAGGGAATGAGACAAGGTTGGGTCAGGAAATCCAACAAATCTGAAGGCCCCCAAGACCTCTGTGTTCCCCGGGAGCTCGGAGGGCAGCCAGTGCCAGGTTCCCAAGACAGTGGGCCACAGCCGGACTTCTTGGGGGGCTGTTACCAATACAATGCCCTCCTCTGCTGGGTCACTCCAGGGCCGGGCCCAGGACCCTGTATTTGCAAAAAGGCAGGTGTGGGAGCTACAGAACCGTCCTAGAGCCCTCATCTGACTGATAAGGAGAAGGGAACCGACTTCCCCCAGGACCCAAGGTCTCCTCACCCCTTGACAAGTGACGGACGGGCGGGCTGGGCGAGAGAGGAGCCACAGCCCTACCACCGACAGAAGGCCCCCCAGCTTAAGTTCAAGGGCAAGACCCCCTCCCCAGACTCCCACCCCGTGGCAGCGACAGTAAGAGAGGACGGGCAGGATGGGTCTGGCAAACGGGACCGCAGTCCACCCGCCAGCCCCGCTCCGGCGGCCTCTCTGGGGGGCAAGTCCAAGTCGGGTCCCACGACAGGCGGGGAGAGGGGGGGGGGGTCCTGGGAAGCAGCAAGAAGTCCTCGGCGCTTTGTTCATACTAAGAAAAACCAGGCATTTTTGAGTCACCCAAAAAGCATGAATCACACGGCAGGGCGATGGGAACGGGAAAGGATGTTATTTTTCGGCATACTTGAGGATTTTCCCTTTGTCCCAGGCCATCAATACACTCCCCCCCAGCCCCCTCCCTCCCTCCCTCCCTCCCTCCCTCTCTCTCTCTCTCTCACACACACACACACACACACACACACTCACACACTCACACTCACGCACACCGGGACTCGGCATTTTTCCGGCTTTTTTTCATTTCCCCGGAGCCTGCAGAGGCACCCAGCCGCGCCCGCCCCGGGACAGGCGGCGCCGCCTCCTTTCCCTGCGGGGCTGCGGCCCCGGGCGCCGGGCGGGGAGGGGCTGCTCCGGCGCGGCCCTCGGCCCCGCAGGCCGGCCGCCCCGCGGGCCCGCTCACCTGCGTCAGGTCCTCGTCGTTGAGCAGATGCGACTCGCGGGGCTTGAAGCAGTTCTGGCACTTGCTCTTGTTGAAGATGTTGGCCTGGAACTTCCGGCACGGGTTCTCCTTGGCCGCCGACATGGCCGGCGCGGCGGCGGCGAGGCCCAGGCCGGCCCGGCAGACGGCGGCAGCAGGGGCGGCGGCAGCATGCACGGCGGCGGGCGGTCAGCGCGGGCGCCGCGGCATGTCCCCGCCTGGCGCCGCGGGCCGCCGACGCAGGCCGAGCGCGCCCCCGGCGGGCAGGGCGGCTCCGCGGGCCGGACGTGGGCCGGGCCCTCACAGAGCGCGCGGCGCCCGCCGCCCGCCCGCACAGCCCCCGGCCGGCCGCCGCGGGCCCATGGACGCGCCTCCCGGGCCCTGCCTCCGCGCTCGGCCCGCCTCTCAGGCCCCGGGTCGCCGCGGGCCCCTGCGCTCGGTCCGGCCGCCTCTGCCCCGCGCCCAGCGGCCGCAGCAATGGGAGCGGAGCGCCTCGCGCACTCCGGGCGGGCGGGCAGGCGGGCGGGCGGGCGGGCGGGGCGGGGCGGGGCGGGCGCGGGGGCGGGGAAGCACGCGGGGCTGTGCGGAGCGGAGCCTCGCCCCGACGCGATCGGCGGCCCTGCCGGCCAATGGCAGCGGTGAGCTTCAGCTAACAAAGAAACCCCTCGGCCAATGGGAGCCGGGGGCGGGGCAAAGCCGTGGCGTAAGGTAGCGTGTAGGCGGGGAGGGGGCGCGCGCGGGGACGTCAGTCAGGTTTGGTGGACCGGCGCCGCGGCCGGCGGGCTGACAGCTGCAGGGGCGGGAGCCGCGGGGGGAAGGGGCGGACCCGACCTCCGGGCGGGCTCCCTGCAAACCCTCCATTCCAGCGGCGCCTTCCCGAGCCCGTCTCCAACCGGAGCCGGGCCTGGACCTACTGTGTGCCAGCCCTGCCTCCCTCCATCGTAGAAATCCCAGGCAGCATTCCGAGCGCTTGCTAACAGGTAGAGAAGTTATGAAACACTAGGTAGGCTTCAAGGATGACTCAGAGGAGATGTCAGCCTCCCAGAGCTGTCAGTCCTGTTATGGGCGGTGAGTAAAGCGAACTGTATGCCACACACTAAGTTAGGAACTATCCCCATGATGTGGTTGAAGTAAGGCTCAAGCCCGAATCAATCTGTGCAGCCTCCCGGCCCATAGACCACCTGGAGAGAATGGAGAGAGGCGCGGGCAGGAGACGCAGGGAGCCCAGAGCGGGAAATGCACTCTTTGGGGAAGTAGGGGCGCTTAGAGGAGGCAGGGAAGTGTAAGCAGATTGTGAGAGATGGGGAGGAAGGAGCAGGACAGACCTGAGGCCAGGTCCCCAGGACTTGGATCCAAGCTCAGGCATATAAATGTCATGGTGCTGGCCCCAGGACTCAACTATCTGAGTCTTTAAACGGGAGTGAGCTAACTCACCGCTCACAGCGGAGTGACGTTGAAACACGGATTAGTGGCAGGGACAGCTGCTGTTGCTTAGGGAACGGGAAGGTTCTGGGAGAGAGAAGTAGCAAATGCTTCCAGAGCTGTGTACTTTTCCACTGATCATCTGGTGGTGATCCGATCCTAGGGAGGTAGATTTCAATATAGTAAGAAAATACTTTCCTCCAAAGGGAACTGGAGGAAGGCGGGTCAGAGTCCTCGGCAGCCTTAGGAGAACGCGAAGCTCTATCCCTCACTAGCTCTGCGGCCCCTCAGTAAGTCCTTTTGCTGATGCCTGCCTCGGTCACCTCATCTACACAATTGGCATCATTGTGTGGTTGTTGTGAGCATTACATGATATAATGCTGTAAAATATTGAGCATAATGTAGCAAAATGTTAATTTGTGGATCTAGACAATGGGGATGTAATTGCAACTTTTGGTTTAAATTTTTGCAAAGTAAGTGGGGGGGGTGAGGAGGGAGGGAGAGAGAGACACAATTCTTGCTTGTATAGAATGCGCAGAAATTGATACCAATGGTTGCCTCTTGGGAGGGGAGCTGGGTGGTTGAGCAACAACCTACTTTTAATTTTCACTGTAAGCCCTTTTGTTCTCTTTGGATTTGATATTGTGTGAATGTACAACTTGTTTGAAAAGAATTTCTGAAAGTCCTACCATGCCTCAAGGCCAACTCAATGGCCACTTCTCTTAAGAAAAGGCTTGGCATGTTCTGCTCAGACCCGTGGACACTTGCAGCACCTGCCCGGACAGCAGGGGCCACAGCTGGGCACACAGAAGCATTTGAGTCGAGCCTGCCTGTAAGGAGCTCACACCTAAGCAAGTGGAGAGACAGGAGGCAGACAGACAGATTCCGTCCAGGGAGCTGAGATGCCTACAAGGCACCCAGCTGGTCTGCAGCTTCAGGGACAGCTCCTGGAAGGAGGCGGGGCCTGGGCTGAGTCTTGAGCTGACTGAGACCCAGCCAGGAGGAGGGAGGGGAGGAGCTCTGTCAGGGTCTTGCAAGCAATGGGTGTGTTCATGAATACAAGCACCTTGATGTGACTGGGTAGTTCAGAGAGATGAGAGTAGCAGCAGTGAGGATTATTGGGAGGATTAAGTAGATGTGCATTTGGAGGTTTAGCATATGCGTGTGAATACCTATCATGACAGATTAGAGTTCAACCTCCTCAGGGAGATCGGTGTTGTTGTTGTTGTATAATTATTTTATCTCCATTTTACAGAAAACAAATGTGAGGCCACGGTATTTAAAGAGCTTGTCTATGGTCAGAATACAGACCCTCTACTGAGGAGGCAGGCCCAGGAGGCTGACGCCAGAGTTGCCTGGGCAATGGAGAGCCATTATTCACATTTTTAGATAAAAAATAAGGGCTGTTGGTCTGGAGAATGAATCAGAGGCAGAGGACTGGAAACATTACCCATCAGAAAACTACTACATTAGCCCAGGAAGTAGAGAAGGCAGGCACCTGAACTAAAATAGGGCCAATGGGAGAAGACGATAAATGTGGGAAATATTTAGGAGACAGAATACATATATTCAATCTCACACTGTGCTACGTTCCAAAACCTGACTAGACTGTGAGCACCATGATGGCAGGACGAATCCGGGTTTCTGCTGCAGGCCTAATGCCTAGTTCAGTGCCTGGCACAGAGTAGGTGCTCAAAGAGAATTAATGACCACTTACTGCTCTTTTATCGTCATATCTCCCACCCAGATTATAAAACTCAGGCAAACAGGGTTCCAGGGACATAGAACAACACTATGCACAGGGCAAATATTGTGAACAGATCCGCATGCAGTGGGTTGGACACTTACGATGTGCTCACTTTATTGTATATCTCAGTGTATAATGTATATCTCAAGGAAATAATAAAAAGCATGCAATGGAAAGGCCTCTCAAGGGGGCCCCGAATTCAGATAAATTCTGCTCTGTGTACCTGACAGCTGCCCTGGGATGTGTCTTTGCATCATCCTGTGAGGGAGCAGAGCTTTCATACACACACACACACACACACACTCACACGCACACACACGTGCACACACATGTGTGCACACACAGGTACCCACTCTCACATGAAGCTGTAGAACTCCCACACACACATACACAGGCACACACCCACAAAAGGTAGCCACTATTTGATCTCTATCACCACCATAGTCCCAAATGGGAACTTCAAATCCTTGCAGTTTGGTCCAAAAAGCACTGTCCTGGTTGGTCAGAAGGGAGCCACTCTGATAGTTTGGTGAGGATGCTAATGAGGCCATTATAGTAGGGCAGCTCCAATCGGACAGGGGATTTCAGCCCCGTTGGTTGAAATACTGTCCCAGGAGCTCCTTTCAAAGCTGGCTCAGACCACGCACCACACGGTGCAGGCCGCAGGCCCACGCAGGCTTTCTCCGGAAGGAGAACTGCTATGCTCTGCTTTTTTAAATTTTTAAAAAATATATATTTTATTGATTTTTTACAGAGAGGAAGGGGGAGGGATAGAGAGCTAGAAACATCGATGAGAGAGAATCATCGATCAGCTGCCTCCCACATACCCCCCCACTGAGGATGTGCCCGCAACCAAGGCACATGCCCCTGACAGGAATCGAAGCCGGGACCTTCCAGTCCGCAGGCCAATGCTCTATCCACTGAGCCAAACCGGTTCCGGCTGTTTTTAAACTTGAACCCAGTCAGCCACCGCGAGCCCTTCTTAACCGGTACATTGATTCTTGGGGTCAACATAGTGTTTGTTTCACTTATCGATAATAGGAAACTGCCGAACAGTTCTCCCAACCTGAGAGCTGGCTCTCCTCCCTCTTTCTCTTCTATCGATAATCTGTATGTTTACTGAAAGGCTAAGCGGCCCCTCTGGCGGGCTTTCTGGCCAATAGGTATGATGTGCACTGACCACCAGGGGGCAGACACTCAACGCAGGAGTTGCTGAACTACAGCAACTTTGCAGAGTGCCCTCTTGCACTCTGGGACCCCTTGGGGAAAATGGACTGCTGGTTTTGGCCCGATTCCCCGTAGGACAGGCCGAGGGACCCCACCTGCCAAAGGGATCCCTCTCACTCCACAGACGCCCTTCAGGCTGCAACACCACCAGGTATGGCCAGCCACGGGAGGACGCAGGAGGGTGGCTCCAAGGTGTGTCTGACCCATCTCGTCCTGTCCCACCCCGCCCTCCACACTCTAATTAATTTTCTTTCAATGTGCGCAGATCCATGTACCAGGCCTCTAATAATTAATAATAAGACTCACCGGGGGGGGGAGGGGACTTAGAATAATATATGCACAGGGCCTTCCATGGACATTCTGATCAGTTTGGAGCTCAGGAATCTGTTTCTTGAATAAGTGTGTTAGGCAGCATTTCTTCTCTTTATGGAAGTTTTAGAAACAGGGAATGGGCCAAGGTTCTCAAATCCTGGGAGATCTCAAATCCTCGGGAGATTCTAATGTCCAGTGTTTAAGGGAGAGTGGAGCAGAAAAGACGTTGAGGTTAGACAGACCTGGGACAGTCCCAGGAGAGGCCCCTTCCCCGGTACCTGTTGCTGCATAAAACACCCCACTCCTCCCTAAAATAGCAGCTTGATTGCCGTTCTGTGAGTTGAGTGGGCTCCGCTGAGCAGTTCTGCTGTTCTTTCATGCAAGTGCAATCTGAGGT